AAAAAAAAGTTGCAAAAAAACCAAAAAAATAGACTATGGCAAGAATGTGGAGAAAAAGGAACACTTATATACTTTTAGGGGCAATGTACATTAGTGCACTCACTATGGAAAAGAGTACTGAGGGTCCTCAGAAAACTAAAAATAGAACTACCATATTATCTAGACGGTCTTCTCGTGGATATAGATCTGAAGGCATGAAGTCAGTATACAAAAGATACTTGCAGCCCGGGAAGCGGAGCGGCAGGGCGCGCTGGCCTTTGGGCCAGCCCCCAGCTGCACAGGCGCCCGGAAGGTAGGCCCCGGTGCCTGGGAAGCTGCACAGTGGTGCGCTCTGGCATGCACCGGCCCTCAACCCAGCCACCACCACGCGATCGAGAACTATCATGACACAGAGAAGCAATGACACAATTGGCCCACCACACGCCAGCTGCGGAGGCCCGCCCTCGGACGTGCGTGAATCATTCCGACAGGGAGAAACCCCTGGGAATACATGCCACACAACCAATCGCTCTTGCCCCTACCGTTGAGAACCAGAAAGGTCCAGAGTCAGCGGAGGAGCAGCTGCTGAACAAGGATTCGGAGAACATGAGAATACAGACTAAGCCTGAAGACTCAGAGGTCTAGTTGACAGGGGTCACAAGAGTCGTTTGGAAGCTGGAAACCAGGAGGACCTTGCAAAATGCCTGGGGAGACCTCCTGGAAGCCATTCTTCCCCTGACAGTACAGACTGCGGTGGAGGAGCACGTTGAGCTCTGGAGAGGTCTACACCAAGATTCCTGCTGCCTGTGCTGACAGTTGGGGAGAGGACACTAAGTGGTTGTGGGGTCCCAATGCACTGGGAGGCTGGAGAGAAAAAGCTACAAAAAATGGCTTCCTCCCCAGATGTCTCACTTGAGATGTTAGTAAGGATTGCCTCCTCAGTATTCTATAGCCGTGACAAGGAGGAGGACAAGGAGAGAAAACAAAGAGACCGAGAAAAAGCAGCTGCTTTTGCTGCAGCACTAAGAGAAATAGACCCTAAGTCTGATTCTTGAGGCCCCAAGAAGAACTCGATGACTACACATCTCCTACCACTGTTAAAAGCCAGGCCACCTCAAGAGGGACTGCCCTGAGAAGCCCCCTGGACCATGCCCTGAATGCAAAGGTGACCACTGGAGATGGGTCTGCCCTCTGAAGCAGAGGCCCCAGAGCTCAGACCCATCCTACCAGTTAGTCTAACAGGAATGAGTGGGCCCGGGGCATACTCTGCCTTCTCCCTCTGGCCAGACCGTCATCTCCATGGAGGAGCCCAGGATAATCATGACAATGGAGGAACAAGAAAACAGCCTGTTGCTAGACACAGGCGCAAGTCTCTCGGTCCTTCTTTTCAATCCTGGCCTTCCTTCCAGTCGTCACACCTCAGTGAAAGGAGTCACAGGTGAGGAGGTAATACGCTATTTTTCACAACCCTGAGGCTGTAACTACTTGTTAGATCTTCCTTGCATATCTCTGTCTTCCTGAGAAACCACTTGGAAGATACCACCATGTATTATAGCAGCCATTGATACTTTCCTACTACTCTGTCCATAACTCTGTAATGTTTGTATTGTTCCTATGCTATTTCATAAATGGATGTATGTTTATTATTATGTGTTTCCGACAAAAACCATTGAGAATAGTCAATGATTATTCAATTGGTCACTCATGTATAGCTCTATTTATTTTCTTTAGAAGCCACTTTGAAGATACCAAAGTATAGTACAACAACTATTGATAATCTCCTACCTCTTTTGTTTGTAACTCACTATTATTTGTCTATTTGTTTTCCTGAGAAACTATCTTGTAGATAACAATATGTAAAACAGCAACCTTTGATAATTTCCTACCACTTTGTCTGTAATTTGGTAAGCCCCCCCATTACTATGTTATCCTTCATTTACTCTTTAAAATAAAAAAATAAATAAACAAAAAAAAGATACTTGCATCCTTATTATGGCACTATTCACAATAGCTACATTGTGGAATCAGCCTAGGTGCTTATCAATAGATGAATGGACAAAGAAAATATAGTATATCTGCACAATTGATTATTATTCAGCCTTTGAGAGGGATAAAATCATGTCATGGAAAATGAATGGTACTGGAAATCATCATGTTAAGTGAAATAAGCCAGACTCAGAAAAATAAATATTTCATATTTTCTTTCATATGTAGAAGCTTAAAAGGGGAGTGAAATGAAAGTAGAAGGGGGAGCTATTAGACAAGAGGAAGGGAACAAGGTAGGTAGGAGTTTAAAATTATCCACGTATGCTATGTGCATGGATGAATCTGCCAAAATGTAGCCCATTCATATTTATAACTAATATGCAGTCATTAAAAAAGATAATATGAAAGTAGAAGAAGGACTACAAAGGATTGGGCAAGGGGCTTGGGGAAGAAAGGAGAGGGGGAAAGTTGAGGGGATAAAAGAAAGGAAGCAGACACAATTAATGCATGATATATGCATATATGGATATATTATAGTGCATCTTATGAATTTGTGCAACTAATATGAGTTAAAAATACTCTTTAGAAAGAAGAGACAGGTATGTAGGGGAAGACTGAATGCCAAAGGAATACTAACAGGACACAGATACTTGTGGTTTTGTTTTGCATATTGTACTTAGTGGTGACAGGAGTCACTGAAATGGTCAATGGGTTGGGTAGATCCATCCTTTCAGTTCTAAATCATTGTTGTTACCCAACATACTCTATTCGTTTCTTCCTCTGTGTCTACTCATGGGTGTCTTCCTTTATTATAAGGTACTTTTTAATTCCTTTCAATTTTGAAAATTCCACAATCTTTGCAACTTGTCAAATCAATACCACTTCCATCAGGAAACACATCTGATCCCCCCCACTGATGATGGAAGCTGACAGCCAAGCTGGTCAGGCTAAGCTGGGCAGGGCATGGAGGGTCAGTCCTCATTTGATCTGAAGCAAAAGAGTAGGTAATAAGACTTTCTCCCTTGGTTAGGTGTATGGGATCAAAGGGCAGAGACCGAAATTATATTCTGGAGTCATTTGAAATGATTAACACTATACGGTAAGGGGCTCATCCCTTGTGTTTATCACGATATCTCCCAGCAATCTCCCAGCACAGAGACATGCTCTTGTTGGTGGTAGAGAAAAATGAATAAATGGAGGGCTGGGTGATTAATGGAAATGAGGTAGGGAACCACGCTAGGGAGTTGAAGCTGAATTAGAAAAATCATTAAGGGGACAGCAAGAGCATTTGGATGAATTCTGAGATGAACATCAAAGCCTGTAAAGTAAACAGACTCCATATACAGCTCATTCATCAGAAGTGGGCTAGCTGAGATCCACCAGCTTTTGAGAGTCAATGAAATTGCCTTTAATGTCATGCTGCTTTGCCTTTAATCTCATTTCCCTTCGAATCTCTATGGGTGACGTTAGGTTTTCTTAGTCTCAGTTAGCTTTAAGCTCCTATCTCCTTAGAATTGGAAGTGTTTGTGAGTTGCTTTGGCATCTCAGAAGTGCGTCCTACATTCTCTTGCATGGAACTATAGACACTTCTCGAATTTCCCAAGGATTGCTCACATGAGCTGTTTGTGTGGGAAGCACGATTTACTAAACATGCAGAGTGAAGACAAGATCTTTTAGTTAGCATATGGTTTGGCCTCTTCCCCCTAAGATTCCATGAAAACATTCAATTTCCCTCCCTGTATTATGTGAGCAATTTGACACTCTGAGACCTATCCAACAATTGGCCCTATTTTGCCTCTTTAAAATGCTTTACTGTTTTTCACACAAAGCAGTCATCTATTGTCCTACCTGGAACATTCACTGTCTACCTTCTCCTCTCTGTACCTTTACACAGAGCTGCCTCTGACTGGAATTTTCTTTCCAGAACAGAAGATTTGGCAGGAGTTCCGAAATTTCAGTCTTTCCCTCTCTTTATCTTATGTCATTCTCCTCAAGTAGAAAAGAATAATGTCAACCATCTCTGCCACTCAAGCGGCCATAGTTAGCTTTTAAGTAATACTTTTATTTTTTTGCATTCAACAAACTTCTAGCAAGTGCTTACCTGTGTTTGCTAAGTCACATAAATAGGCCAGAAGAGAGAGAAGCTCCCTTTCTTCCCTTGCTTCCTGCCCTTCCTAGTTTAGAGCATTCCTCCTTCTCTACAATATGGGGCATCTTTATCTGGACCTATTTACAAATTTCATCGTCCTTATTGAAATGTAAACTCTGCAAAAGCGAGATCATTTCCCTCTTTGAAATTTCAGTCTAGCTCAGTGTCTGACATAGCAAAGATTCTGAAAACATCCAACCTGTTATTGTGGAAAAATGAATGAACATGAGACTGCAGATGGCCCCTCAGTGATCCGGACAGGCTGCCGGGGAAGAAACACACAGTACTCCTTTCTCACTTCTACCGACTGTAAGCTCCTGATTGAATCAATAAGCAACGATTTATTTCCTGAAGACCTACAATGTGCAAGGCACAAGGAGAGCTCTAGGATTGAGATTTTAGAAAAAAATTATTAAGTGCATCACCTCTCTAGTCCTGCCATCCCCAAATAACTTCCAGACCACTTATCTCTATTTGTTTTTGTGGAAAGGCTGAGACAGAGAAGTAGGAAAATAGAAATCAGTAAAATACTCAGAGCTGTCACCTCTATTTATGGCATTTTACATTGCCAATTCGCATTTTCTGAATGAGTTATTTGTGTCCCTTCACAGCAGCCAGCACTGCAGCGCCTTGCATATGTTATATGTTCAATGGATACTTATCAACTGATTCTTATACAAGCATGTGACAGCATAAATGCATTATGAAAAATGAGGAGGCTAGGCACTAAAACAGTCACGATTCTTTCTTTCAAAAGACACAATAGTGGAGTTAGATTTAAAGTTCAAATGCCCCTGTACCCTGCCCTGTAGTATCTCTAACCAGGGTGATCTGATAAGATAGTTGAAGTTGCAGTTACAGGGTAGTTGACAACCTTTGCTCCCTCTCTACAATCAAAAGCACTCATAGCTTTTAGGTGAGCCACACTGGCTTATTTGCTGTGGAGTTTTCAAGAGCATAGAATCTTCCTTTTCACTATCAAAAGAAGATGCTGTTTAATTTTAGGATCCTGTTGAACAATGCCACTCTGAGAATTGGTCACAATATCGTGGTTCGAAATTTTCAGTAAGTGATGAAGAAAGAGCTGGGCTTGATTTAGGAATCATAATGATAAATGAAATTGTATTGTGCAAAAGAGAGCTGGCACAAAAGGCCTCTTTCTGTAGGCTGTAGTGCCATAATTTACTCTTATATGAGATGGCTGTCTGTAGTTGCAGCTGAGCTTTCATTTCTCAGTCCTTCTGTAATTTGATTTTATCATGCTTGCTATGTGTGTTGGGGTGGGGGAGCTAACCGTGGCAGGTACAGCTGACTGAATATCCTTGACATCTTCCATTTGTGTATGTTCTAAATAAGATGAAAGAAATTACAGGAGCAAATTTTTCCTTGTTTGTTTATTTGTTTGGTTTTCTTTTTGGTACTGGGAATCAAACGCAGACCTTGCACTTGCTTGCCAGGCAGGTGCTGTGCTGCTGAGCTATATCCCTGGCCTACAGGAACAAATTTACATAGGGCCTCCAGCTGGTATTTGGGTGTGATAGAAAACAATACATCATTCTATGGTGTTGATAGAAATCTATTCTTTTAATAAAACAGATTCCAGATAGCAAATAGATAAAGATTTAGAAAGCTAGTGCAAAGGAGCCTTATATGTAATGGGAATAACAGTGTTATTTTTACAAAATCTAAATTTGAAATTCATATCTGAAATTGTTTGTGGAATGTACAAAGAACATTGTCTCCCATGAATTCACTATAGAAGCATAAATTTGTTTATAGTCATTGAGCACATGCTTGAAATTGGCATGGAGTGTCAGTGGGGAACGGGGAGAGAAGAGGGAAGAGGAGTTAGCTGAGTAAGCAAGGCCATCAGATGCAGACATCATTACCAGAAAGCTTCTAGAAGACTTGGATGTTGGCAATCAGATGCAATTTTTCTACAGGTTCTTTACAAAATATAAACTAAGCTCAAAATAACATCCATGACTTCCTAAATGTGAATATTTCTTCAGCTATAAAATGGGAAAAAGGATAATAGTTGCTCTGCCTACATATAGGGTATTATACAATCATTCATTTAACAAGTACTCATTGAGTATGTACTTTTTGCCATTGCCTATGCAAGATGTTGGAGATAGAGTCTTAAATAAGGAAATGAGATATTTCATTCCAGCCACATGAGGTCACAGTCTGGTGATAATCAATGAGATATTGTGTGTGAAACTTGTAAAGTAACACGCATTGTTTTTTATTCCATCTGACTGAGTTACATCAGAGAAAAGTATGATTAAAATTTATTTCATGGTTTTTAACAAAGAAAAAAATCACTGAGTTGTGATTGCTCAAATGAATGAATAACCAAGGGTTGGAGCTCAAACTTATGCTCTTTTTACAAAATTACAATGAATATTTTACTATTATTATAGGTTAAGCTTTGTAAGCAAAACCTTTCTAAAATAGTTGGACTTTTTTGGAAATATGCTAGTAATCTCTGGTATGTATCTGGTAGCCAGACTACATTTCCAAAAATGTTAGTTAGCTATCTATCCGTGGGGCAAAATATAGCTAAATCAGCCCAAACCTGTACTTACTCTTCGAAAAAAGGTGAAAGCTTTTAGTCACCAAGGTTGTAAAAAACTCAGTAGTACATTTCTGTTGAAAAGTAACCTTGAAATGTTTTCAACATGGTGTTCTCATGTGACATGGGTATTTTCCCCACTCTATTATTCTATCACGCTACCTGCCGCCTAGATGAATTCAAAATTATTGATCTTTATTAAGACCTTCAACCTTTCATAAACTCCCTCAACAACAGAGAAAAGCTCCCTGTCAATTTTGTATTAAACTTTTACTTTGATTTTCAGCTTTCACTAAGATTTGAGTTCTTTTCCTTTTTTTCAACTTGAGAAAAGCAGAGGGCCTTTGTTACACAGCATAACATATGAGTTTACTACTACAACGTAATAGGAAATACATGGTTAGGGTTTGGCAGTGCCACAAAATAGGGGCTTTTGAAGTAAGTAGACATATTGTCATCTACATGACAAAATAACAGCTGAAATGAAGGTGAAGTCATCCACACAGGGCCCTGGATCAATCATTTTTAGTCAATTAATTTTCTTATACAAAATAAATAGGCTCAGACACTAAGACTGGTGAAAACACCCAATGTACAGCCTTTCCATGTCATAAACAATGCTCTGGAGCCTGGTTTTCTTTCTTTCTTTATTTTTTTTTGTGGTCCTGGGAGTTGAACTCAGGACCTTGAGCTTGCCAGGTAGGCACTTGCACCACTGAGCTATAGTCCCAGGCCCAGCCTCATGTGTTTGGATAATAGTGTCCCATGATTTGTTGCCTATTGGGGAAACCCCTTAGAGCTTTTGAAGAAACCGCTAAAAGGTCTCTTTTCATTATCAAAGAAGACCAATTTATAAGTGCAGTTCGATTTCATCTCACAAATAGAAATTGCTTCAGAGAATATTGAGCTAAGCCACCCAATTTTGTGGAGGTTATGGATTGGAGCTGGAGGTGACTAGTTTTTAGGTATTTCATTTCAGATCTCTATAAGAACTTACAGAACTCATTATGTTTCCTTCATCTCACACACATGCTGATCCATATACACATGGACACACAAAACAATTACAGGTCCCCCATGCTCTTGTAAAGGAGAGAACAGTGCTTTTTGATTATTTATATTTTGTATCAAAGCATCAAATAAATATGTTTTAAAAGCATATATCTTAGCTTGACCTCAGAAAAGCATACAAAACATGATACTATGACAGGAATGGTGACACAACGTTTTCTTTGGCCAACAGTAGAATTTTTACCCAGTTTGTTGTTTTTAGTAATTTAGTAATTTAACTAAAATAAAATAAGCCATGTCTTCAGCAGTTTCAGGCTTTCCATGCACGTCTGTACTCTCAGCACTTGAAAGGCTGAGGCAGGAAGATTGCTGCAAGTTTGAGGCCAGCCTGGGCGATAGAGTGAATTCAAGGCCAACCTAAACTACATAGTAAAACCCTGTCTAAAACAAAAATAGGTCTGCCCAAGGTCAATCCTCCTCTGACTTCTTTAACTTTCAGACAAGTTCCACAATGTTAGATATTGATGATCTTAGAAACACTGAGTTACTCCATTTTCAATAATAACTTATATTGCATATGAGCATGTGGCAAGGGTAAGAAAGGTGTCAAATAAATTTTTAAAATATTATTTAACTGCCAATAATAAAGTAAATAAATTTGGAAAGGGTTTGTGGATTTTTTTACATCAATAGAATCAATTCAAGGTTTTTATGAAAAGTTTTCCTCCCTTACTTATTCCCTAATATGCCATTTTTGAAAAAGAAAGATAGAGATAAGATTAAAGTTAGGCTACTGTGAATTCAAAAATTTTGTGTTTTTATACTTCATAAGCATTGTAGATGACAGAGACATGGAAAATCACTCACTTAGTTCACTTTTTCAGCTTTTTAGATGGTGAATTAGACACAGAGATGGTAAATGGCCTTCCCTAGGTCATAGTTTATTCCTACGCCTCGGCTGAGCCAGAACCTATAATTGAACTGTTTAAAGCCACAGCTCCTTTCGTTCCCCTGCTTTGATTGCTTTGATCTCTCTGAGTTGATTAAGGTGGCCAATCTACCATTGCCTTGTGTCCTTTTTTAGGTATAGCCAAAATGTCTCAATAAAGACAAAAGGAAAATATGCCTTAGCTCTTGTGTTTATTCAAGGTTTAAGAAATATCAGACTCTCAGCCTTAAGGCCTGTTGGCTCTCTCTCATGCCTCCAGAAGCTAAAGTCTTTATCTCAAATTCACCATGGGGATCAGAATATCATTTAACACTGATATTTTTTTCTGCTCTGGCAAAGTCAGTTTCTGACTGACCATATTTTACATGAATTAAGCATTTTTTCTTCCAACAAAGAGAACATATCCAAGTCTCCCCGGCCCCCAAACAATTTACCAGAGTTGGAAAATGCAGTCTCTAGCCACAAAAGGTTTCATTCTGCCAGTAGTAAATATACTTCCATTTTCTAGCTAGGAAGATATTTGGGCAAAGCTAAAACAAGAATCTATTATTACTTTGGTCTAGCTTTTTAGCATTCAAGGATTTGGGGTTAAGAAATCTCTGTAATTATTTTTCAAGGGATAAAATTAACATAAAGAACTGCTCGGGCATTTATCAAAGGCTTTGGCTCTAATCAGACTGCAAATGATATTTTTAAAACTCTTTATTGTATTTTTTCATTGACATAAAATATTTGTACATATTTATATGGGACAATGTGATGTCTGGATTCATGTATATTAGGTAGTGGTGAATTTGGGATGATTAGCACGTCTATCAAAACTATGGACAGATTTGATGGTCCCCACTGTTTTCCCCAGTAGGATGGCCTCTCTATTATGTATGAGCTGAAGAGAGATAATGTGGTTTAGGTCTGGTTTATGGAGACCATTTCTTCTTTATTTCTGTCTTATTTCTTGTGCACTTTAGTATAAGAAGACCAAAGGATTTTATAGGAAGGATATGAAGTAATGATCTTGGCCTTTATTCTAGTACCCATAAGCCAGTGTAGACTGCCTAAAATTGTGGCATTAGGTCTCTATAGGAACTTAGTAACTTTATGTCAGCAGCTTTTGCCAGCTAATGTGAGAGTAGGTTTTTCACAGAAAAGCAAGAAAATGCTTGAAATAGACCAAAAAAAAAAAAAAGAGGCTTGTAACAGAGGCATTTTGACCGTCAAGTTTTAGAGCTCTATTTTCTCCAATTCTTATGTAGTTTAAGAAAGAGGTGTGGCAGCTTCATTTTGGAGCCAAGGGGAGGTCTCTGAGAAGATAGTAAACAGGATAGGAATTTAAATGAGAACCATTGTGTTTCCTTTCCTTTTAGTGATAAATTTTCCTGGTTAGTTCTTGATATCTGTGAAAAACAACTTTTTCCCAAGCTAACATTTCCTGCCCCACCTCCTGGATCGAATTGTGAGAGCTGATTACTATTCTAATGATTTTTCAGTGATATAAACAGTAGGGTTCCCTTCATCCGTTATGGTACA